GCCCGAAGGATTTCTGACAGGTGGGCGGGTTCTCATCGCCGTTTCAGGACAGGGCGACCCATCGATAAGCTCAATATGCGATGTATTTTTACGAACGCTTCCTAAACTTTAGAATTTTACGAGCGTTGTCTAAGGTCATTCTCCTTTTCCACCTCGTGTGTTCGTCTTTGGCGCAAAAAAGAGAGGAGACAAACCACTATTTTTTCTTCCCTGATGACTCTCTCTTTTTTATATATTTGGGTTTGTGTAAAAGCGTCGACATGAGATTAACAAGAGATCTCTGATGATTCCTGTGAAATGGGAAATGTCACGAAGCTGGACATACACGGATTTCCATCATGAATAGTTATTGGCTCATCCGACCTGCCTCTGGACTCGTACATAGACCTAAACATTCCCTCCATCTCAAAACTAATTATTTAATTACCGGACTTCACAGTAACCAATTAACACCGAATCATGAGCCATTAGATAGGCCTATCCAGCTTCCCTTTCCTTTTGTTTTCAGACGAAACGAAAACAAAGGCCTTCTCTCATCGCAAGAATATGGTGTTGCTCCCACGAACCTAAGAGCTGAGCGAGTGAGTCATCGCCGACGTTAATGAGACGTGACTCGGGCATTTCGTAGGTCATCCTGAAGGAGCAGGAGCGTGTTCCTGACTCGGGGAAGGACGGGGCTTGAAGTGACTATAAGGGGTCTCGAAGGGGCTTGAGGTCGTGGGTTTGCATGGGCTTAAATCAGCAGACTTACATGGTCACTCAGACACAAGATGGATACATGCATACATGTACAGTATATGTATATGTACACATATATATTATATGTATAATTATATATATATATATATATATATATAATATACTATATATATATATATATATATATATATATATATATATATATATATATATATATATATATATATATATATATATATATATATGTATTATATATATATATATATATATATATATATATATATATATATATATATATATATATATATATATATATATATATAGTATATATATATATATATATATATATATATATATATATATATATATATATATATATAATAGAACAATACATATATGTACATGTACATATATAATATGTATATGTATTTACATACACATAATATATGTATATATATATATATATATATATATATATATATATATATATATATATATATATATATATATATATATGAATAGAAGAACACAATACCGTGTTGATAATATGGTAGAAAAACCCACAATGCACAAATTAGATTTATTGAGGAAAGTGAGACAACAGTTTCGGAATCGAAATCTGTCTGGGTCGTATATATATATAAACACACACACACACACACATATCTATCTATCTATCTATCTATCTATATATATATCTATATATATATATATATATATATATATATATATATATATATGTTTGTATGTCTACTTATATATAGAGATGGATAGATATGTATACATATGTATATAATTATATGCATATGTGTGAGTGAGTGAGTGTGTGTGTTGTGACACTCTATATAATTTGTTTATTTGTTAAAAGATACGTGACAGACAAAAAACATGTACGAGTTCACCATTCATATGAACTCGTGAACAAATGCTTAGGTAAATACATCGCAAATTTTCACACAGAGAGAATCGTCGAAATGGAGGAATGGTTAACGTTGTGCTCTAGTAATTTCTAGGCCCGCGTTCGAGACTGTTCCATGCCAAGTGTGGAATCACACGTAGGTCCATTTTTGGTTAGGATTTTTTTCTTTATTGTTTAACTGGATTAATTTCATCGTGTTGTCTACTAATATAAACAATAAAGAAATTCAACATAACAGACAATGAGTAATGTATGTGTATTATACGTTCAGACTCCAGATAACTTCCATAATTAACTTACACACACACACACACACGCGCATATATATATATATATATATATATATATATATATATATATATATATATATATATATATATATATATATATATTATCATATGCAGTTAATAATGCATCGCCGAGTAAAAACCTGCAAACTGGAGCAGGAATGATACCTTTGATAGTTTCAATGTGAACTTACCATTTAACAACTTGATAAATCATATATTTTTGGAAAATTAGTTTGATTTTGATTTAAAAGTCTAATCTTCGCTATCTACAAGAATTTAAAAGGATAGATAAGACAGCTCTAACTGCTGACAAAAGAATCCCCCCCCCCTTTCTCACTCTCTCTTCTTTCTAGAAAGGTCTGGTTATTTCATGCAACACACGCGTATATACATATGAATGAACACAATCTCCCATTGTCTCTCTCTCTACCACTTCTATTTATATACCCATGTTAGTATATAAATATGCGTCTATGTGCAGTTCAGTCGCTCGCTCACTCTCCTTGTTTACTAAAGATTATTCACTTAATGTTTCACACACTGGCAGTCATTATGTAAGTAAGTTAGTGGGTAATGGGATGGCAATATTACTAAGCTGATGAATAAAAAGATAAGGAAAATGAGGGAGAGTGAGTGAGAGAGAAGAGAGAGAGAGAACGAGAGAGAGAGAGAGAGAGAGAGAGCGAGAGCGAGAGCGAGAGAGAGAGAGAGAGAGAGAGAGAGAGGGAAGAGAGGGAAAGAGAGAGAGAGAGAGAGAGGAAGACAATAATAATCAGACAGCGAAGAAGTTACAGTGGAGGAGAAGATAGATAGATAAGTAAACAGAAAAGTATATAGAAGAGAAAAAAAGAGAGAGAGAATCAGATAGTGGTCAGACATTTGAAATAAGAAACAAACAGATAGACTATCTCTTACGAATGAGATATAAATTGGCAAAAAAGACACTTTATACTTTATCATTTTCTTTATCTGATTTCTCTCTCTCTCTCTCTCTCTCTCTCTCTCTCTCTCTCTCTTCTCTCTCTCTCTCTCTCTCTCTCTTCTCTCTCTCTCTCTCTCTCTCTCTCTCTCTCTCTCTCTCTCTCTCTCTCTCTCTCTCTATCTCTTTTTCTCTATCTATCTGTTTTCCCAACTATCTACCCATCTATGCATATACGTGTTTGGCCTGAATACTTAAATCAAATATATATACGTATAGATATGTAGAGACATAGATAGACCCCATTTTTAAATACTTTTCTAATCACGAAGAAAATTAAAATGTAAAAAATACTCATCAAATGTCATCTTGGGTCAATGCGCGGTCCGACCTTTTTTTAGCCTGGGTCAAAGGTTCACAGATGACCTTATCTACAACAGCCATCAACATGCGGTTCTGTAGATATCCATGCTTGTCTGTTTTCCATGTAGGTAGATAGCTAAATGTAGATAGGGTGATGTATATGTGTATATTTCTATAAATATAGATAGATAGATGAAATGGGTATCCATATAAATATAGATAGATAGGCAGATAGATAAGAAGATAGATAGAAGTAGAATTTGAATAGATAGATAAACAAATTGATAGAAAGATAAAGATAGAAGGTAGACAGACAAAGACACATCTGTACTTAAATGCTCTTTATCATTTATTTGATACATTGAAAACACGCCAAGGAACTTAATTATGTAAATAAGTCAGTAAGTCTAAAAGATCCGACCCCCTTCCCCCCACCCCTCCCTCAGTACCCCCAATTCTCTCCCCATCGTCGATTTCCTCCCCCTATTAGTCTCCCCGGTAAGCACACCTCACCCTCCATTTCTAACTAAGCCCCCTTTCCACCCCTCCCGCCCCCCTCCTTCCCCCTACCCCTCTCTTCTGTAGATCATGTGCATAAACTCCCAGGCCCGGGTGAGTTGCCAGTGCGGAAATTACGGCTCCCATTTCGCTCGTGTGTGTTGCCATTTGTCCTTTTGCATTGATTCTTTGAGGCGCGTGTTGTGGATGGGTGTTTTCTCTTTACTATGGGTGTCTTTCTCTGTTTCTTTCTTTTTTTCTGCCTCTCTTTCTCTCTGTGAATCTATTTTCTTATCTTTGTTTCTCTGTATCTGTTTGTTTCTCTGTCTCTGTTTGTTTCTCTCTTTGTATGTCTCTCTGTCTGTTTCTCTCTCTTTCTATGTCTGTCTCTCTCTCTCTCTCTCTCTCTCTCTCTCTCTCTCTCTCTCTCTCTCTCTCTCTCTCTCTTCTCTCTCTCTCTCTCTCTCTCTCTCTCTCTCTCGCCGTTTCTACTTTTTCTTTCTTTCTAATTTTCTCTCTTTCTTTGTGTTTTTTTTCATCACCCTCTCTATCTTCTGTCTGTGTACCTGCCTGTCTGGCTCTCTCAAATGCATATATGTGCACACATGAAACAACACACGCGTGTGGCGTGTGTGTGTGTGTGTGTGTGTGTGTGTGTGTCTGTCCGTGGCGAGATAAATAGATAGGTAGACAGATAGATAGATAGATAGAGAGGGGAAGGAGAGAGATAAAGATATAGATAAACAATTACATACACAGGCTTTGGTATGTATCAGCACGGCCGTGTACCTCAATAACGAAGCGTGAATGTATGCAATTATGTTTTCATATCAATCTCCAGTTCGATCCTCTTAACCCCCCCCCATCCCACTCAACCCCACCACCCCCTTTTTCTTCTGCCTTCCTCCCCCTAATCCTCCTCCCCCTCCCCCCCCTCCCGCCCGGCTC